TAAAGATATATATATGTAAAATATGTAAGGGGTTTTTTTGTATATATATCTATAAAACCTATTTCCCTTTAGGGGAGGAAAATCCTCCTACTTCCCCAAAATTGGTCCATTTTCCCAGCAGGATCAGATTTGTCTGACTCAGCAACAGTTCCTTAATATTCACCACAGTAACGTAACGAACATATTAATAACCACAGGTAGCTCTGTATCTTACAACTCCTCGACCTCACCCTGGGCTGCCCGCTTCAGACACAGCGGTCCTTTGTTGGGGAGGAAGCTCTGATTCATCCCCCGTTAGCGTTTTTATAGCGCTGTGCGCGTCGAAAGAGCCACGCAAGTGGCTTGAGAGGGTAACGTGAACCTTGGGTTAATTCATAATACTGTTAGTTACTCAGCACAATACTCACATTAATTCAGCTGACTGCGTCTCGCCACGTTGGGAAACACATGCTGGAATCAGCAGGGAGCACGGAAAACAGGCGTGGGAGTAGGATGTTAAGTATTTTGCTGGCCTGCTAAGGTAGAACCCGAGCACCTTAAACGTATTTATTTTCCCCGTTGCCTTGAGGGCAGCCTCCCTCTGCTCCGCAGGTGCGGAAGAGGCTGTGCCCAGCATCCCTGCAGGCCTGGGAGCCTGAGGGGCAGTGGGGACATGTCCATCGGGACTTAGCTCCTACTTGCAGCCCTCTCTTTCCTGTGGGTCTGTTCAAACTGTTCCAAAGCAGAAAAAGCCGCCTTTTTGCATCTGATGCTGGCTGATTGAACTGCAGCGCTGGTCTGCGCCTGTCTGCCATGACAGCCCCCCTCCCATGCTTTTCTCCCTGGGGAAATAGCCTGGAGCACCTGGTGCAGAAGACGAGCTTGGGACTGGCCGTCACACGGATGCTCTTGCCCCACGCTTTGGAAAAGAGCTCGGCTGAGCGGCTTCAAGCCAACAAAGAGCCCGGACAGACACGAGGACGCGGCGCTGAGCGGCCGCAGCGCGTTCGTTCCTGTTGCTTGCTCTTCAGAAACTTGCTGTGCCGAGCAACGCGAAGGAGAGCCTCAAAACCCCGCTGCGTCCCTCTCCATCTGTTCCTCGCGTCTGACTCCCGGGTTTGTGCCTCTCCCTGCGGCGCATCCAGCCATCCCGCAACTGCTGCCTGACCTCCTGCTTTTCCAACGGGCCCCTGACAGCCCATCTGTCCCAAAAGAGGCCTCGTTTGCAGGCGTATGAGCCTTTAACAACGCAGGATCCAATACTTCCAGGTTTTCTGGCTGGTTTTACCCTAAACTGATGTATATAACACACTGAGCTGGACCAGAAATGGGCAAATACTCCCAGGAACCCGCCCACCCATGTCCTCAACCCTAATTTTCTGCACTGGAATATCGAGGAGTAAACTACTACGGGGTAGTTGAATCGTTAGTTTATGTATGTTTTAATGGCAAATCAACGCTGTAATTAGCAGGTCCGTTTCTTGGGCTGAGGCGACGCGATGTGCTTTGATGGTGAGCGTTATTTGTGGGCCGTAAAAGGCAACGGGGAATTGGGCTGTAATGTTCTTGTTTTGCAAGCCGTATGGAGAACAAAATAAATTTGTCCTGGCAGCAAAATTAACTGGAATAAATGGTTCTAGCTCCATCCACCAGGAAGAGGGGTTGCTGTAAACGAACTGCTTCTCAGCCGCCAGTTGGAAAACCTGATTACCAGGTCATTATTTCTGGCAATTAGGTACCAGAACATCAGAGAAAGGAGAGATTGCCACTGAAATATTTAACGGGTAAGGTAGCAATCGCAGACTCGTTGGCTGGAAACGTGAGATGGGATTTCTTTATCGCTGTGGTTACGGTTTGCTGTGCGATGAAGACCTGCGATAAGCAAGGCTACGGGTAAAAGCCAGGCTGCGAGCTTGAGCCGTGGCCCAGGCCCGGCTTTTCTTTGCCTGGAACCCCTGGGCTCTTTGCCGGGTTTATCCCATGCCCAGTCACTCACCGGACAGTCCTTTGCTCCTTTTTCAGAGCTGGGGAGCTGTAGGTTGCTTTGCACCAACAGCAAATTCCAGAGGACTTAGATAAGACGGGGAGCGTGTTGCCCTGCTTATGTCACAGGATGCAATTGTGCGTATCTGTAGGTGTGTTTTCAAAAAAACCCACCCAAAACGCCCTTCCTCCGGATCAGAAAAGGCGAATCTGAGGCAAACCGAGGTTTTATGCAGCAGCGTTAAGCCGAAGCGCTCTGCATGCCGCGCGCTGCCGTAATTCTGACCGTAGGAAACTTGGCCTCTCTGTGAGAACCCGGTGTGGACGCTCTACCTTCCCTCCGGTATTAGGCACAGGTGGTCACGTGGAGGCCTCAGCAAAGTCTACGGGAACTGTACTACAGGTGTTCAGACATAAAATCCACCTCTACCAGCTCGGCTGTGTTTTTCCCCATTTCTTACAAGCGTTCCAGGAACTAGTTGGCACGTTACGGCTAGTTAAGTCCATCTTTTCACGAGGGGAGGCTAAAACCAATTCAATAGTGGCAAAATTGTTGAACCAGATCCCAAAACCCAGGCAGCCCTGACCCCAAAAAGCCTGTCAGGTGACAGCATAAACGGAACCCTTCACCCTCCCTCTCCTTGGTGCAGGAAATACAAGTGGGGGGCAGCTTCACAGGAATAATCATTACTCCGTGCGGATGCGGGAGGGCCCGAGTTTGATCAGCACACTAACCAAGACAAACCATGGCTGAGAGCACAAACCTTGTAGATGTTTTACAGAGGAGGGAGAAAAAAAAACCATACTAGAAACCACTGAACTTCTTCCATTTCGGTTGTTGTTTTATTTCTTGTGGTTTTCTTACAATCATTATGCTCAAATATAAAAATTCCTGGCCAAAGTTAGTTTGAAAAGTGATCCCATCTGCACTGATACATGCTCAACGTCACTAAATTCAGCTGCTGGAAACAAACCGATAAGGTCTGACACACGGAAAAATCCTCCTTTCTGACCTGTGCAAACACACCCCAGTTTGACAAAAAATAGTTACACCCGACTGTTTCCAGGCTTAGTTTTCATTAAGTAACTTTTTCCCATGGACCCTTAAGAACTGGTTTGTGCTAAGCTGCACCGCTGTGATCCCTTTCAGCTGCATCTGGCATCCGCGTGAATCACCGCGACACGGAAGTAAGACTGAATGGCAAGGTGCCAGGAGGGTGATAGAGTGGAGGCAGAACTGGAAAGCCCCAGGCACCTTTATTTCCAGAGCTCTGGAACAGACGCAGTGCGTTGCAGGTCGGCTGTTCTTAAGGCACGTGGTGAAAAGAAGAGTTTATCACCCCGGGCGATTCATCTCTGCGAGTGAAACGCTCTGTGCCAGTAGTAGACGAAGGTGGGCGAGTTGCTGGCCCCTATGGCTATTAGCAGCAGTAGGTACAGCAGCATCATCACGGCAAAACGGTGGGTGTAAAACCAGGAAGATTCTCTGGAAGGCCTGAAAAGGGAAAAACACATGAATTCCGTCAGAGACATGCAAACACCTCGGGAAAGAATGTCAGGTTCTGTTATCTTAGGACATGGGATAACAGGTTTAAACTGAAAGCGGGGAGGTTTAGATTAGATATCAGGAAGGAATTCTTCCCAGAGAGGGTGGTGAATCACTGGAACAGGTTGCCCAGAGATGTTGTGGATGCCCCATCCCTGGCCATCTTTAAGGCCAGGCTGGATGAGGCTTGGAGCAACCTGGTCTAGTGGAAGGTGCCCCTGCCCATGGCAGCGGGGTTGGAACTAGATGATCTTTAAGGTCCCTTCAACCCAAACCGTTCTGTGATTCTGTGATTTTAAATGGTTACACTAATGCAGTAAGAGCAGAAAGTTGTTCTGCAATCCCTATGTAACAAAGCCTGATTCCTCATCCCTTTTCCCTAAGTCTCCGTGCACAACCCCGTCCTTTCTCCCCATGTTCTCCGTCGCTGATCCGGAGCCGTGCAGGGCTGTAACCGCCTGGCCCGCACACGCGTGTCGGTTAGCTGGGTGAATGCTGCCACTTAGGACAGGTAAAGGCAGAGTTAAATCTGCCCTAGTTCTAAGAGCTGCGCTCATCCCAGTTTCCTTTGTTTCCTGCCACAAACAGATTATCAGAGCTCTCAAAGACACAGGCCTGTGAAAAAGGAAATTTAGCTTTGACTCAAAGCGTGCGACAGAGGCAACAGGATGGTGTGAACCTCATTTCACAGGAAACAGCTTAGAAACAAATTCTGGCAGTGCAGCATATCTCTTGCTTGTTTTCTGTTGTTTTTTCCAAAAATGGGATGTGTTTATCTGGCTGTTAGAGCATGCTCATCACTAGACAGCCGACCTCTTACCTCCTGTGCTGCTTCTGTGAATACACTAGCAAGTATTTGACTCGTACAAGCTGGTTGTTTGTGACAACGAAGTATTTCTGTGGTACGTCGCCCCCTTCGCTGTTTTTCACTCTTGCTCTTTTTCTGTCTATTTCTTCTGAATCTGAGTGGGAAAAGAAGGAGGTTTTGGGGGAATAGAAAAGCATAAAAAGATGCACAGCTGTAAAAAAGCAAACAACCTGCCCCCC